ACAAGAAACATGGATCAGCTATAGTCGCTATATTCATAGTCTGGCGGATAGAATCTCGGGAACCAATTGAGCTGTCAAATAGCGGAGCCAATCGAGCAAATCACGACCAACAACAGAAAAGAGCACATCAGTTATTGCGAACAAAATTTCGGAAACCGTTTTCTCGTGACTAAAGGATCAGCTACACAAACTAACGCCATTTTTAGGTTGTGGAAAGTCTTTCCTATCCGATGATGCTGGTAATTTACCTTCGATTGGCGAGGAAAGAATAATCAACGTTTTGTTTATAAAAGTTGATAGCACCTTTTCAATTGTTGGTCTACAATATATTGAAATGGTTCCGCTTTTTGATAGATCGAAATTCTATCCGCCAGACTATGAATATAGCGACTATAGGATCAGCGGGTCAAAAGAGAAACGTCGTTACTGGACCTATGCACTGAAAAAAGTTTTCATATAGTTTCCTTTGGAAACGCACATGATATTTTTCCAATAACAAAATTAATGATTTTTATCTGAAATTCAAATAACGTATATGACAAATCACATAAACTTCATTGGACACATAAGGTTCATGTGATTTTGTGATGCGATTCCCAATTATGAGATCACATGAAAGTTGAGTGAAATTCTAATGGATATTTTCCATTGGAAATGTGATTTATTTTTCGAGTGTGGAAAATACTAACTACACACTGAATTCGGATAACCTGAGTCGGTTAAATTTTACCCGGTTTTTGAACTACTGAAAAAGTCGGTAAAATTTCAAATTACCATCACTCGTAAGAAATCAATAAAATCGACACATTACCATTGAACGGTTTTAAATAGGTCCGTACAATTTCGTAATAAATTTCAAAATTGTTGAATTGGTTGGTACTAGAAATACTCAGAGGAAGAGATGGGCGGAGAGAATGTTTTGAGCCAAATGAACTGTCAAAATCTGAGCCAATCGAACATTCCTATTAGAATTTTTCCGAGGATTTCTTATTCTTTCTAGAATAAATTTGAAAGTATTGCAATCGAACAGAAATTCAATCCCCTTTATGTTTTGTGTGCTTCTCAAATTCAACTAGGTTTTGGAACCAAAAACAATACAAAATGATCTTCGTTGGTTAATGAATGGCACCAAGAAATGTGCAAAATATTGCGATGCAATCAATTATTATTTTGCATGTAAATCGAATCAAAAATAAAAGTCATTTGAAATGCTAGCTTCTAGCAAGGGTTGCAAGATAATTTAGGAACAAATCCTTGCTGCCGTATTGTATTTTGTTTTCTCCGCCTATCACACCCTCTGAGTATTTCTAGTTGGTACTATCCTTTCACTCCACTGAAAGTTCCAATAAGAAACTGTCAATGTTTGTTAGAAGAGATGATTTCTCGACGGTTCCGTCAACGCCAATATCAAATGTTGTAACTTTTTGACAGGACACAGAAAATACACAGGACAACATGATAACAAATTAATGGAATTGAATCAAATCGATTGTCGACTGCGTGGAATTACCACTCGTGTTGAATAACCCACGTTCATGGTATGCAGGTTCCCATAAATAAACTATTATGCTGATGTTTTGGTAAACATTCCTAAAGGAAAAACTTACATATATTATTGAATTTGCGTTACGTGTAGGCATGTGAAACGCAGATAGTATTTATTTTATTTTAAAGTAAAAAAAAAACAAAATTACATGATTATGCTTGTGATTTTGTAGAAAATGAACATCGATATAGACGAAGCCTGGGTAGTGATTGGAAACTGTAAAAGGATACTTTTTTATTTAGTTTGATATCCATTTTATATCACACACGAAGATTTAAACAAAATGCCAACACTGCATGCGTGAAGGTGCAATGTGAGTCAGTCGGTCTAAATGAAGTACGTTCTCCCTCCTCTTGGGTAGGGGAAGAATATTGAGAAAGTGAAATAAAAATCAGTTTTCAACAATACTCGTCATCAAACCATCGTCATCAATATTATCTTTCAATAATATTGTCAGTATGTCAATTTATTGTAAATATATTGACCTGTGTAACAAACGCTTTAGTGTATTGTCATTAATGTTGTCAATATTTATATATTGATTATATTGTAAGGAAAATTGACAATACGATGTTTGTCAATATATTGACATATGTAATGGGCGCTTAACGGGATACGCTAGTGTCGTCTCGAGATCCAATCAGACCACTGTGAACGACGATCGGTCGACAAGGAGCGGCAGTAGGAGATCAGTTACATCTAGGCGCGAAGTGGGAAACTTCGGTCAGCCAGTTCAGGCAGAGGACCGAAGCGAGCGAATCACACCAGTATCCAAGCAGCGTTCCAGCTACCATCGTTTGTGTGGACTCGATCTCCGATTGGACCAGCTACGCACGACGCTTAGGCTCGCACAAAGTGGCAACACGACCCGGCCGTGGCTAGGCTCATGGCGAACACCATCAGTGACATCGGTCGGTGCAGCGCTGCGTGATCGGAGGATCCAATAGCGACGTAGGATAGAGCCCAAAGACGGTGACTGGGTGACTGACCAGCTCATTCGGGACGGAACAGGAGAGTAAGCTGCAGTACATGAGTGTTATGTGTGTGCGGCATTCTTCGGCGAAACCGTGGGCGAGTTGAAGCGGTGCACTGGAGGATGCAGACAGCAAACCGGGCCCCCGTGTTAAGTAGAAGAAGATGCTGTGAGTACGTAAGACGTAAGAACATAATAAGAACATACTGAAGAAGAAAAGTAGGGACGATGAAGATAGGAGTTGAAGAGAGACAAATACAATATGTCCTAGAATTATAAATTCGGCGTAATGCATGGGTTTTTCTTGATATTTGTTGTTTGGCGTCATTCAGCTTGATTTGAACGTACTTTCTTCGAGCTATCCGGAGCTGTCTGAGATTTTACATCCCCCTCAAAAGTTTTCCATTCAACACTGACGGATCCAAAGGCGGCGATACAGTCGGCGCAGGCCTTTTCGGAATAGGCGTCACCAAATCCGACGCCCTGCCAAGATGCTGCAGCGTCTTCTCAGCAGAAGACACAAATAACCATTCTAACGGACTCTGACAGCTGTTTATCTTCGCTGGATACGGGTAGATCCAAACACCCTTGGATCCAGAGTATCGAGGCGGCAATCCAATCCAAAAACGTCCAATTCTGCTGGATCCCCGGCCATGCAGGCATCCAAGGAAATATTATAGCAGACCGTCTTGCTGGTGAAGCTGGAAACAACGTTCCACTTGATATTCAAATACCAACCATGGACGCTATAAGGGAAGTCAAACGTGCTATACGACAACAATGGGACCAGGGCAGCATTCTTGGGCCTATATTGTCTAACATTTTCACTTCGGACCTCCCTGATTTGCCTCTGGGTTGCCACAAATCTTTGTTCGCTGATGACACAGGCATTTCTGTTAAAGGAAGAAGTCTTCGTGTTATTTGCAGCATTCTGCAGAAAAGTTTAGATATTTTCTCGTCCTATTTACAAAACTCAACTAATATTTCCACATAAGCCTAGAGCTTCCTTTTTGAAACCTAGTCACTATGAACGGAGATCCAATTTCTTGATCAAGTCAAGTGAAATATCTTGGATTAGTACTAGACCAAAAATTAACTTTTAAAGATCACATTGAGGGCATTCAAGCCAAATGTAACAAATATATAAATTGTTTGTATCCTCTTATAACTAGGAAATCTAAATTTTGCCTGAAGAATAAACTTCAAATATTCAAAAAAGTGTTTAGACAGGCCATGCTTTAAGCTATACCAATATGGTTTTGTTGTTGCACTACCAGGAAAAAAAACCCTTCAAAGGATTCAGAACAAAGTTTAGAAGATGATTTTGAAGTTGCCTTTCTGGTACAGTATTGCAAAAATCGTTGCAATCCTCAATTGCAACGATTAATTTCTTTTATACTTAGATTGTTTTAGTTTGTAGTTTTAAGATAACAAATATTATGCTGACCTGCAGGTTTATAAAACCTGTTTAAAATACGGAATTTCCAAGGCAGAAACATTGTAAAAATAATAAATATAAATCATAACAATTAAAGCTGGTAAGTTACTGTAGTAGCTGGAGCAACTAGGTTAAAATTGAAATGTAATTGAAAAAATAATAATTTGGCATTCCTGTTACATTTTTTTTAATCTTTATTTTTGAGATTTTTAGCCTTAGGCTAGTTCATCTCTTATTTCCTGAAGAAAGAAAATGGACTTTTGTTTTGCTTTGAACCGATTCCCGGTGGCCACTTGAGTTCAATCTGGACCGTTTCAGAGCAAATCAAAGTAAGATTAGTGTAGCTTTCATTAGCAACTAGTCTCATCAAGTTTAGTTAAGAATTCATCTTAGTCTTGGCTTCAAATACTACAGTATCCCTCCGCTTATCGGACACTCGATAATTCGAATCTCATTAATCCAGAAAGTGTTAAATTAAAAAGTATAAACACGCAATTTGAATATGTATGATTGGCCCTAGATACGCATTATTATACTCAACAGTAACTTAGTGAGTATGATTCAAGATATAAAACAACGAGGACGTAAATTTTCTGAAAGTATATGAAATCACTGTGCATTTTCCAAATACAATCTACTGCGAAAAGTCAAGCTCATTCTATTTTGTCGTGACAAATGCAAACAAATTGCCACTGCCGATACCTATGGGAAACCCATCGGAGCATATAAACCGGGTTGTACCAACTGGCAACACACGCTATCCAACAGCAACCGTACCGTTTAGAGTGTTGTAAAAAAGGCTGCTGCTGCAGTACCTATGTAGCTGCAAGAAATCGATTGCATCACCCTTGTCGTCGACTGAGAAACTGACGAGTTAGCCGCTCCGCTGAGTAGGTTAGTGTGGTCGTCTGTCTCACTGCCTGCGAACTTTGTCTCTTTCAATTTGTGGGTATTCACTGGAGAACACCCCTTCCTCGCCTGTTTTTTTTTTGCGCGAATTCTTCGGAAAAGATTTCAATTGACGATTTAAGCTACTAACTTACCTCTGATTTTCTTGTCGTCTGCTTTGAGCTCGTGCAGGGTCTGGTCTGAAATGATTACGGCATACACTTGAACTACACTCTACAACTTTCAGACAAACTATTCCGAAAATCCAAATTCGAGCCGCACCAAAACTTCGACCGTGTACCGTTTCTCCCCGTTCTTGCTTCGGTAACTTTCAGGGTCAATCGCAAAAGCGCTATCACCACACGAAACACTGCCTCTTGCCTGCCTGGTGCCAGCTCACCGCCGATAAGGGTTTATACAATCTTGCTTGTCTCAAAAGAAGGGCGTCCCGCTTTACCACCGAACGAACGGGACTGTTAATACTGATAACCACTCCTGTATATTGGGACAACGGGGCACTGACACTATGGCAGCTTCTTTTTCTCCGTCATCAGACAATGGATTCGGTAATCATAAAACGCACGTGAGAGAGTACAGGGATCGATTAGCCACTATACCTACCTATACTCCTCTGACTAACGGTACCACAATTCCGCCCAGAAAAAAAAAACAATAGCAAGCAAATAAAAACTTAAAAACACTAGAAAGCAGTTTTGTAACAATTTCGGGAGCGAGGGTTTCTGCGGGCGTATAGGAACGTAAGATGACTGTGGTGTGGCCTTGTTGCGTTTTATTTTCTGCGATTATCTTCACTACACTCAATTTTTTTCCCTTTCGACACCGTCAACGCACAGTTATTACGTCCAACACTACTCGCGAAATCTCGGCGACTGTGCTCTCGCGATTCTCCGCTACTCCGAGCTGTTGATTCCGTTCTCCGGAGTCCGGACACTCTTTCTTTTGTCGATTTTGACGGATTACCTCCAGAAAACTGACGGAACGAGTTGACGTTTCTCTTGTTTTCGTCCGTTAGCGCGCCCTAGTGGCTGGTTCTGAAATTTGCCAGTGCGGTTGCCAGACGACAGGGTGTGTTTAGAAGGTAGGACATGCCGATGTTTGTTAAATCCAAGTTTGAATCGACCACTTCGGTGCTGCAGTGGGAGCTCATGTATCAAACTGAATTGAAAAATCCAACTTAAACCAAGGGGGGGAGGTGGCTGTCCAATACGAAAAATCGTCGCCTACCTCGCATAACTGGTTCCAAACGTAAACAAGCCATAAGAAACCTACAGCGTTTGTTTACGTTTGGAACCAGTTTCATACAAAATGATCAGTAGGCTGATTTGACAGCACGTCCCCCCCCAGACTTAAACTCATGCGCGCCTGGTGGCAGGAATAAGCACTAACCGACGGTGATAAGTCTGTGACAGCCCTTGAAAATTTCATTGATTGTTTGCAAAATTATTTAATTTCAATGTAATTTCATGAAAATTTCTTGTCAGCATGGATGAATCTTGTACAAAATGCATAAAACTATTTTGTAATGCATTGTTCTTAAATAGAAAGCTACTTCAAGAGTTATAAATTACTGAAAACATGTTAAGGTTTGAAATCATCTGCCGATTAAACAACAGACAAAGTTGGCCGACTAAATCAATCGACGAAAAACTATTAAATAGGCCGATTGCTCGGTGTAGCACCAGACGAAAAACGATTTAATCTGCTGATTAATACACCGACTGAAATTAATTTTTAAGTGGCAATAGATTTAGTCTGTGGACGAATCGGGTGATTTGGATGATGTTTGTATATTTGGAAGATATTTTCGAAACAAAGCACGATAAAATTCAGCATTATATACCATTATTACGAGTACTACTTTTTTGCTCGGATCATGTTTTGACTTCCACAGAAACTCGCTAGAATAAATAGAAAATAATAGTTTTTTGGTTGAAATTTCAAAAATGTATTCAGTTTGACACATTATTTCGGACTTATCACCGCTGCGATTGCAGCGTCACGGTGGTCGATTGAAACATGGATTTGTCAATTGAGAAATCCAACTTAAACTCCTGCGCACCTGGTGGCAGGAATAAACACTAACCGGCGGTGATAAGTCTGTGACAGCCCTTGACAATTCTATTGATTGTTTGATAAATTGTTTAATTTCAATGTAATTTCATGCAAATTTCTTGTTAGAATCCTAGGGGCAAGTCAGCTGTACTCTGAGCTAATATATTAATATTGAGTAGCTGTGAGTTACTTGTAGCTACTCAAAAAATAACAAAGTAGCCTTAATTTAACTTTTTTTTAATCTGTCGTATTTACAAACAAAATAACGTCAGTCCGAGCGTCAGCCATCATGAACAGTTTTGTTAAAGAATTAGTTTTAGATTTCTGTATTAAAGAGACTTTCAGTTGCAGTTTTGTTTAAATACAAGTAAGTTATTTTTCTCTCTAAAACAAACTTTCTTTTTTAAGTATAGATACTGCTACAAACTGAAAACGTGTGTCTAAATTCCAACATCGATCATACAAACTCCAACAACTTATATGGATTTACAGGAATGATCAGGGAATGATTGCATAGTTCGTCATGCTATTATTTGAGCATCCGGTAGTAACGAAAAGGATGGTGTTTTAACTAATACTCTGCACTGATACCGTTGTTAAGTTTTACCCTGATTAAAACCCGTATTATTATTTCCAGATCATCAAGAGCTATTCCTGTTTTGTTTGCGTTAGTAGAACTACAAATATGCAAAAAATAAAGGAAAGAAACCTGATCAACTATGGTGAGTCTATGTACATGTAGTTACGGACCTGCAGCATTTTGAACTACCTGCACATCCCTGTCAAATGACCACCTCAAATTTAGACAATTAAAGCTGACTCACATATACACATCATATCGTCGTTCGAATGTGTTCAAAATTTTGAAATTGTCCTTAAATGCAATTATGAAGAAATAAATGATGATTTTTTATTTTGTTTTACAGCTTATTAGTTTCTTTCAGAAAATTTTCAATTATATATTACACTTTATCCATAAAAACTCATGGATTTTCATAAACTAATGGCACGGTTGTCGCTGGGGGCAAGACAGCTTTCGATCATAAATAAAACCGGAGTTAATTTTGAGTAACTCTGAGTAAATCACGTTGCTCAATATCTTATATACACATAGCAACCTGATTGTTATATTGAAAATAATGTTGAAAACTATGCTGTCAAGCAAAGTAAATTGAAGTGCTTTCTTGGAATTTCAATAATTTCAATTCTTAGAGCAATATAGTTTGCGTTTATATTTTGTTTTTAATTTCCAGAAACTCAATGAAAACCTCGATGAAAACGAAATTTACACAAATATTTAAAAATAATAGAGTACATACAGGAAGCTGCATGATTTTCCAAAAATATAAAAATACAGTGTCTTCCCATTATTGGTAACATATGATTTTTGCATGTTATGCTATCTATAAATTCATTGAAAGCTCATATTCGATAGAGTCAGTGTATAATGAGTCACGCCAAGAGAAAAACAGTTGAACTCGCATCACGATTTTCGAAGGATTCCCTTTCTTTTCACTTGGCAACAGAGGACTTCTACATCAACTTCAAATGACTTCTAGCTAGAAAAAAAAATTGCGGCTGTAGTGAATCATTATATCAGTGATTTTGTCAAATTATCTTATCAAACAATAGTAGAAATTCTCATTACTGATCATTAGCAAACGTATCCCATGACAATTTAATGCTCACTGCGTGTTTATGATCATTTCTTCAATTTTATTTTATATTTTATTGCAATACCTTTCGTGGACCTTTCATAGCATCGTAATGTTTGTTTACTTTGCACAATAGGTAGCCGGTTTGACAGTTCAATAGGTAGACTTGGCTTCACTCTTGGCGTGACTCATTATACACCGATTCTAATATTCGATTTATGATATTACTCGATCATTCTTTACACTGAGGAAATTCTTCATATTTCGTTTATGTGCCACACACATAGATTTTACAATTTGATTACACAAATGAAATTTATGTGTGGGACACATAAAAAGCTTCCATTCTGCCTGCAATAAATTTTATGTGTGGTCACACATGGCCATTATGGATAGTGTCAGATGAATTTCATTTGTAGGTTTATATGTATTTGTTTATATTATTTTGAAATATTCAGGCTGGTATTCTATTTTATACAAATAAAACTAAAAATCCAATGTACCATGATATATTAATTCTCGGTCACTACATACGGAACAGAAACGTTTCAAAGTGCTGTAAACGCTAGTGAAATGGGCGTAAAAAAAAGCGTTCGATGGCAACTGAAAATAGAATTGAATTCAAGATTAGCAACTCTAACCATAAAAATCATCCCAAAACTTACAAGTTGTCCAAGCCGCCGTGCTCAACCAACGAAAGCGCTGGGATGTAGGACATATCCACAGACCGGTAAACCAGGATATCCATTCACTTCCAGCCCCATCTAGGCATGTAATCCCACAAGCTGTTGATCAATTGGCATCAAAACTGAAACAAAATATTCAATTACTCATATTTCTCCAGGGAAATTTAATCATATTTACCAACAAATTATGATAACAGCTTCAGATAAAACAATATTTTCTAGAAGTAGTATTTCTAAAAAGAGCTTATGATCACCATTTTGAAGTTTGCTTTCCGTGGCCCAGCAGCCGGTGTATTTTTTTGCATGTGTGTCCACACATATTTTTTGCTATTTGCCACCACATATGATGTTCATTTGAAATACACATACTTGGTATATGTATTGCATATGAAGTTTATGTTTTGTTTATAAAATGTATGTGTGGAATGTTTTTTAAAAAGTATGTGTGTTTCATCAGTGTAGGGATCAGACGCTTGATATTTCATGAAATGTTGTGCTCTGGGCACAACTTTGAGGAAATAAACATATGAGGCCGTGTTTCCAAAAACGGTACGGCACTGTTTTTGGTTGTTGGCCATGGACTGATTATTAATGTTAAGGTTCCACAAAGGGTAAATAATTTGTTTACTTCTTCTTTTTGAAATATCCTTCGATAATCATTACCTGAATGTATTGGGAAAATTCATTGGAAGTGTATGTCCACACGCCAAAACTGCTCATGTTTCATAACTATCAACTGGTATGGTGACGAAAATTTAACCATCTTTTTTCTTCCTGCATTTATTATATTTCAATACAACAGAAAATGTGATGTATGTGTATACTAATGATGCTGATTAAAGAATATTTCAAAAATAAGAAGAATACAAATTTAAATGTTGAACCTTAACAAACTCCACGAAGCTGGCCAGAGCTGACCTAATCTGGCCTAGAATCAGCAGCTCACATAATATACCACAATAAGCAGTCAAAGACCAATTAATTATATGATTTGAGTAGTAGCTATACTGAAGATCCGAGAGATGTCGCCTCTCAGTGGTAGGAAAATCATTTTTACAGTATGGAGAATATCAGAAAATCCACGATTTGTGACTAAACATGCTTTCACAGAAGGAAACAAATAAACGAGTGTTTACCTTATCACCATAGTAACAACAATCAATACGAAACTAACGATTTTAAATTGGCTCACCACTTTAGTAGCCTATTGGTCCCAAGCAAACGATTAACGTACCCTATTCTAGTTGAAATTCTATTACTACACTATGTTTGTTTTGATTCGCTATGAAAGTTTGACAGATAACATCAGGGGTGTGTGGATTCATGCAGAATATGCAGGGGTGAGTGAAATAGCTTGGGACTGCTTGGGACCGTTGTTCTGGTACTGAGTGAGCCAAAAATAATAATGATTTTCTTCGTGACCCAGTGGTCTTAGAGTTACCTCTATGATAGTAATGTACTCGTGCAATTTTTGAGCATCTAAAACTGCCCATAAAGACGGTAATAAATAAAAACTGAAAATTTGCATGCATTTCCAAAAGGTTTCCTACCATTCCCATACATTCGAAAGTGACTGGCCCTCTGGATGTGGATGATGTCAAAAACAACAAAACATGATTAATTCTATTGACCACTAAGGAAGTTTAAAGCTCAGGTTGTACCGAGGGTTGTACCAACAATCAATACGAAACTAACGATTTTAAATTGGCTCACTACTTGACTAGCCTATTGGTCCCAAGCAAACGATTAACGTATCCCATTCTAGTTGAAATTCTAGTATACCAAGAAGATTTATCACGATTTTGAAGATTTCCTGCAAAAAAATGATGCGCGATGCAAGTTGATGCGAGAAATGAAAGAAGATTTTTCGAAGATTTATTCGGTAGTGTAAGATTTTTTGAGCATCTAGAATCGAGATTTAGATGTGTCGCACCCTCGTTTTTTACTGTAAATTTTTCAAATGCCATGATTTTCATTGTTGTGAACCATGAATTTGGGATTGGGATTTTATGGTAATGGACAAAAATGTCCAATGTTTTGACAATAAATAACATGGTTACAATAGGTCATATGAATAAAAGCAAGTCTTTACTCATGAGCAACCCAGTTTGAGGAAAGTAATCTGTTTGAGCATTTACTCAAATTCGTATGAACAAAGTTGTACTTTACTCGGAGTAAGTTCGAATTTCGAACATAGCTTTACCATAGAGGTAACTTTAAGACTAGAAGGTCCTGAAATAACGTGCTCAACTTTTTGGCTCAGCTCTGGTACTCTCTTCGGTCCCAAGCTAATCGATTCACCCCTCGACACATAGGAAAAACCAATAACCCCTCATTTTATCTGTCAAACTTTCATAGCGAATCAAAACAAACATTGCGTAGTACTAGAATTTCGACTAGAATGGGGTTCGTTAATCGTTTGCTTGGGACCAATAGGCTAGTCCAGTAGTGAGCCAATTTAAAATCGTTAGTTTCGTATTGATTGTTGGCTTTACTCTGTCAAAAAGCTGTTTGTTTTGATTTGATTTTCTTTGATAGAAGGAATATTTTTGGATGCAAAATAGAAGTGCCCGAAGAAGCTTTACGGGAAAATGGCTGAGGATTCCTTCAACGAGGAATATCTGGAGGAAAATCAGAATCAGAGTAAGAATTTTTTTCCCCACAGTACTGAAAAATGATTTATAACTTACGCCGTTTCCATTATTTTTAGGTGAGGATGATGAAAATGGGAACCAGACTCTAACGGAAGGCACAACTGCTGAGATAAAAAGTATTCAAGATGCGAAGTTCTGATATCCTTCGGAAAAACGCTGCTGGAAAAATCTCAAGTGCCGACGATGAAGCAAAAGAAAAAAACTGCCATGCATGAAGTGTGTATCCAGATCTAGGGGCAAGCCAGCTGTACTCAAAGTTAATATTTTTGCTCCGAGTAAATTTGAGTAACTCATAATTACTCAAGAATGATCAAAGTAGTCTGGCCTTATGTATATTCATCAACAAATACAAACTACAATGTGAATAAACATTATGTGTCAGTGGAGGAGGAGAATCAGAATTATTTTATTATATTCTTGATACAAATCTTTATTTAATCAATTGAATTCATTCACAGCATGAAATATAAGAATTTTGCTTTGAAGGGAAATAAGGTAAAAAATGCCATATCCGAAGATGGCTTCACATGAAAACTGTATCCGTATCACCCAGGTAGACGTAATTTATGAGACCTTCATGTGCTTGGCAAATCAGAGGTTCTGCACGTCTACAATTGCAAATTGCATCATCTCAAATAGGAATGAATAAGTTGAGAATTCAAGATTGATGTGAACTTGATTTGGATTTATGGAAACTTAAAATTTTAAATATGGTTATACAATGACAATGTATTGTTTTCTATTAATCTCGGGTCGAACTTAGTGACAATTGAAATGCTTATAGTTAATTTATCTGAAAATCATGACAACCAGCAACCAAATGGATTATGTTTCTATACTTCTCTGAATGCCCAAGTATTAGTGCAGAACTATGAGGTTACTGCCTCAAAGTTCTGTACTAATTCTTGGGCATTCAGACAAAAGTAGTAGTAGTAGTAGTAGTAGTAGTAGTAGTAGTAGTAGTAGTAGTCGTAACTTTGATGCCTTTCGAATATTCAAACTAGGGTCAATTTAACCAAATTTATCATATTTTGAATCTGCAAATGCTATGGTCAACGTCGACCGATAACAGCCTGCACTAGATTTGGTTGAAAACGGCTTACAAAGGATTTGAACGAAACAGTAGGAAGGTCATGTGATCTATCTATGGATGATTATCCAGTGTAAACCATCATTTACTCTCGTTATTTTCGACAATGAGAAGCTGCAGAATTTAGGAATATTTATCACCGTTGAACGTCTTTCTTTGACAGTTGGGGAATAAACACAACAAGGTTGCTGTGTTACCGTGCATCGCTTGTTGAGCAACTCGAGTTACTCAGAGTTGCTCAAAATTAACTCAAATTTTACTCATGATCAAAAGCTGTCTTGCCCCCAGATCCAGATGCTAGTCCAACACGGGATCAATATGACTGTTCGGCAAGTCATGAAGAAAATCAACAACATGAAGCAAAGGATCAAGGTAAAAACGGATCGCAGACAAACTGGAAACCGAAAAATTATTTTGAACGAGTTGGAAAGAAAGTTTTTTTGATTTAATGGGAGGAGTCGAAAACCCCAGTACTAGCAAACGTTCATGTAAGTACAATTACTGTTAAAATAAGTTGAAGGTCGCAAAATTTGAAGTAGCGGTGAATTTGAACTTGGCAAACGAAGAATCACTTACTGTAAATACTAGTTTAAATTAGTTAATATGTTGTTTTCTATTCATAAAAACATTTTTAACGTACCGATGGACTAAGTAATTACAAACAAAGAAAACTTCACGATTAATTCAGATGGTGGCTCGATTGGGGTCTCGGCGAAAAGTGGAAGTGTTACTCCGCAGACTACAGAGATACCTCCACATGAAAATACTTCTGAAGACGAATCCTCAGATGATCTACATGGAAGTGTTCTCAGAAAACAGGTGGGCCCATTATCTATAAGTTCTATGCACATGATCTAGAAGTCCAATGCTACCATTATAAACTGCTCCAATGCCTGGAATTTCAAACGCTACCGCCTGGAATGGTTGCTTGAAACGTGGGAGACTAATACGTATAACAGCAGTATGGACTTGATCTACATGTCTATGTCTATTATCTGCAAATCCTGTGAACTTATTTAGAACATTATTTCTGGTTTCTTTTCAGATGACACGACAAAGACATCCAATTCAAAGCATCGGTCAAAAAACGATTCTTGAAGAACAACTCAAACTGATAAAAGCTCAACAGGAATACACGGCGCAATTACAGACCCAACAAAATGAGCGCCACGAGAAAGAAATGGAGCTGTTGGTGCTCAAAAGAAAGCTAACGTTGTTGAAGATACGGAAGATTGAAGATTCCTAGACTACTACAATGCACCCTGACTTATAACGAATATACGTTATGCATGAGTACACCACCATTTAGAACGTATAGTTCGTCTAATTGAACATAGCGTTTGCAGTGCAAGATAAGACGAATTCACGTTGTATCTGGGGTACTCGTGTAAAACGTATATTCCTTATTAGTCAGGTAAGACAGTAGGCTACTATCATCAACAAAAATAAAACAAAAATCTTTTAGTTATACATGAGTATAAGACTTTGTATTTTCCTGGTTTAACAAACATGGTCACCTAGCAAATATGATGCAATAGCATCACGGCGTTTTTGTCCTCGTTGTAGCGCTGTATTTTCTATAACGGTTGATGCAGGAACGGCTATGTCGTACGTTGTAGTCTCATCTAGTTCAAAGTCCCTATCATTTAGATACTTTGCTGCATTGTGTAAAATAAAACAAGCAGCTATCATGCGAGGATTTTTTTCAGTTTTTACGCGTACCTTTGATTGTAAGATAGAAAATCTTTGTTTCACTTGACCAAAAACACGTTCAATAATTACTCTTTCCCTTGTGTGAATCACGTTAAACATTTTTTGTGAGGATGTTACAGGATCTCGATATGGTTTCATCATCCATGGGGTGAGTGGGTAAGCTTCATCAGCCAAAAGAAGTGCGCCAGATGCATTGTCCTGTATGATATCGAAGATATCAGAATTTCTCCATATTCGAGCATCATGTACTGAACCAGCCCATTCGCAATCAACACTTGTAAACTGTTCAGTAGCATTGCATGTTGCTTGTACATTGAAGGAGTTTAATCCTTTCCTATTGACAAATTCATCTTTGTAGTTACCTGGGCGTTTGATCAAAATATGAGTGCAATCTATGGCACCTATGGCGCTGGGGAATCGATATTTTCTCTGCCATGACTTCTTTTCTTGTTCCATCTCCACCGCTGTATTAGGAAAGTGTATCCATTCGGCTGATTTATCCGAGGGGGGCGACACATCTAAATCTCAAGTTTAGATGGTCAACAAATCTAACACTAGCGAATCAATCTTCGAACAATCTTCTTTCATTTGTCGCATCTACTTGCATCGCTCATCAATTTTTTGCAGGAAATCTTCAGAATCGTCATCAATCTTCTTTCTATCTACTCAGCGTGCGTGCAGCTAGCCACAGCAAAACACAATCTTTTTTGCATCGTAGATAGAGTCGTCCCCCTCGGATTTATCGACGATCGCCTTACAAACGGACCATATCGTTTTGCACACTGTAGTTTGATGGACGCCTAAATCTTCGCCCACACCTACCTGTGGGTGAATGAAACAATGTATAAACGCGCTCTCATTTTCACAAAAATTAAATGTTACCTGGAATCCGGGATCACCCACGTATCTTAAAAAACACTTCATCCTTTGTCTGTTTGATAATGCACCACCTCGGGTTTCTGAATTATCTTCCAAAAATGTTTGCGCCAAAAAGTCAACATTTTCTCGAGTAAACCGGTAGAGTTCCTCGAAGTTATCATCATCTCCCACTCGCCGAGTTTTATAAATCTTTACTGAACGATTCTGATTTTGATATATACCGTCAACGTCAACTACCATTGGAAATGGTAAATTAACAAAATCTCCCAAGTACATTTTATACCGTATATTTCACTCACAAAACACGCGAGTTCACCACTTCGATTTCATCTGAGCATGCCCAACAGGTGACTCAGGATTAAGTGAGTATATACTTGGTTCTTACAATTTTATTCATATGGATTTAGATGTTCGAAAACTAAATACTCAAATCTCAGCTTTTGTCATATCAACGTGAGCAAATACTCAAGTAAAAGGTTTGACGTTTGGATTTTAGCAAAGTAAAAGCTTTTACTCACTTTATTCATATGACCTAATGACAATGAAAATCATTGTATTGCTGATTGCATCTGAAACTGAACTGTCACAAAAATGCAAAAAGTGTGATAAAAGTGCACGTTTCCGTCGAATCGTTTTGATGTCTTTGGAGCACTTATTGCTTGCAGCATAAAAAATAAGTGCACCGAAGACACCAAGATGATTAGACGTAAACTCGCAATTTAATCATACTTTTTAATAATTGAAAACGCGCTGATTAGTCCAGTTAGATTTTTTTTACGGGTGGTGCTTCCATATATGTATGATTAGAAAAATTAAGATTTATAAAATTGTCCCAGCGGTTATGATCTTCCGCATTTTTAATGTGTGGTTATTTCAGCTGCAAATCAGTTCAAATCTGAAGATAATCGAAAAATAAGGCGACTCCCGATGGAAATTTGCAAGTTGTGCAATAAAATGTACGTTATTTTACGATTTGAAAATCGTCATTTATTTATTTCGTCAAGCAATATTATCATATTATGATGTAAACAAATGGATTGGATGACATTTCCTCTCAAAATCGGCTAGCGCACTCTTCATTGATGGTGCATAAAACGAGCCTATTGGTCCCAAGCAACCCGATTACCGTACCCCATTCTAGTCGAAATTCTAGTATGTACTACACTATGTTTGTTTTGATTCGCTATGAAAGTTTGACAGATAAAATGCGGGATTCGTGGATTTTTCTATGTTTCGAGGGGTGCATCGATACGCTTGGGACCGAAGAGAGTACCAGAGCTGAGCCAAAAAGTTGAGCACATTTCTTCAGGACCTTCACGGAGAACAAATTCGTTAAGTTAAGATAACAATCCTAATAGCTACTTTCACATGGAAAAATATTGTTGTTTGAAAGAAACCTATAGTTATTTAAACATAAATTTGACCATCAACTCAATCATATCTACCTAATAGATTCAACTGTTCATCTTATACTCAATTCAACTATAACTTTGATCAACTACAACAACCGTCAAATGTTATATAATTTGGTTTCAAGTGATCATCATAAATCCACATACTTTTAACTTGTGATGCGTAGAGCAGGCAATAAGACAGCTGGCTCTCACGCAGATGAACAAGGTTCAAATCTTAGTTGAATGTTCTTGTTCACCTTTTTTATGATTTTGCAGTTGTGTTTTTGAAATCGATAAAGAAGCAAAACAAACTTCCTTAATATGTCGATAATGAAGAGCAGTTTGTTTAATAAACATTGTACAATTTTGCTTACGCAACAAAAGTTTTCTTGAATCAACTAAAGCATAGTTGTATTTTGAAGTTTGACGTTTGTTCATCTACTGAAAAATATAGTTGAGCCAACCGAGGAACCAACTATGGGCTATAGTTGTTGCCCTCTATATATAGTCAAATCAACTATAGTTTCGGGTTATCTCTAAAACAATTGAACAATATAGTTATTTTGACCGGAAAAATAATTTTGTCTGCTATAATTTGTTCTCCGTGTTCTGACCATGGTGGGTATATAAATGGTAATACAGCTTTGTCACTATAGAGGCGAGGAGGTCGCGGGAGGGAAAAGTGTGGTTTTAGAGCAAATTGTAAACAAACTCGGTCGCTGTCCCATACAAAAATCCAACATGGCTGAATCATGAATTTGACACATTAGAACACCTATATGTAGTTACCTTGCTTCTGACTACCTCCTTCATATGTATACGGGCCTTGCTTCGAGCTGTGAGTGAACCAAAATGCTGTCACTTTGTACCTGTCAAACGTCTCGTTTTTTTTTGTTTACGTTTAATTGTGAAATATTCTCGTTCCCGTAAAAAATTGTTGTTGATTTTTGTGGTTTTTCGTGTTTAGTCTAGTGTTATCGTCTTTAGATCCCGAGAAACCCTTATTAAACATCCTGAAACCACCGTGAAATGGCGTCCAACGACGAAGATCCCTTCGCATCGGAGGAAGAGTCCGTTCCAGAATTTTCTGCCAGCGAAGACGAATGGGACCCAGCGAAAGAGGATGTGAAACGGCCGGTCAAAATAGGAAGGTAACGAAAAATGTTCGATTTTGTTGGAAATTCAGTGATAACTACATGGTCAATTGTAGAAAAGGAAAACTGAAAGTGAAAGCGGCTCCAGCCCGACCTACGAGAGTATCGCGAAGAATAGCGACCAGATTGGGGAAGGAACTGCCACCGGAAGATGAGCCTGAACAAGATGCGGTTGTTGTTCTACCGGATGAGGAATCAGCTTCTTCGTCCTCGGGACAGGAGGAAGAGGAAAAGTCCCCTAATAGGAAGAAGAAGCAGAGGGGGAGGCGACCGGCACAGAAAAAGGGTCGTAAACCGAAGGTGGTCAAGGATGAACCGATTAAGCTGACCACATTTACCGTGGAAGAGTTGTATAGGAAATATCGACCGGATTTGGCAGGTTGTTCGAAGAGGGTTGCACCGGTGCCGCGGAAAGTGGAGGTGAAGAAGGAGACTGAAGATGACGATAGTAGCGGTGATGATTATCTGGTCGATCCGGGAAAGTTGGATCTGAATTCGGAATTTTTCCAGTCGGTGGACGTGTCGGTTGACAAGAAGGAAGATCCCGGGATTCAGTTTGATTGCAATGTAGGATTGGAAATGCAGGAATCGGAAGAAGATGAGGATGAGGAGAAACCGTTGAGTTCAGTAAGGAAGGAGGATGAATGCAGCACTGATTTTAGTAAGAAGTTGATCCAACAAATTAATCAGTCGAGTCAGGATTGTGTGAATATGATAAAGCTTGCTGAAGTTTCGAAGCGAATGGAAAATGAGCGGAAGAAGTTGGAGCAATTACGGAAAGAGCAAGAACACAAGGCAGGTGCAAATGAGGAGGATGTTTCGGATCTGCTTGTGGCAGGAGAGAAGATCAAAGGCAAAAGCTCGAAGCAAACAGGAAGAAATGACTTTATCGCTGTTGATGAGAAAGATAACCGGGTCGAGGAAAAGACCGTTGAAATTACACTCAAATTTGAATCCGCCGAGACGGGTAAGAAGGAGAAGAAGAAAATTGACCTACTAACTGCCGTCAAGCGATTGATGAATCGCGAGAAACGCCAAAATCAAATCTACCTCCATAAGGTCTCAATTCTTTGCTGGATTGGTCATGGAACGTATCTTAATCGAACTATTTCCAACGCAGCACTGATGGAGCTGACCATCAAACGACTACTGCCCTCGGCAAGCTGCCGACCAAAAGGTCTAACGAACTTAAACTACTTTCAACAGGTTACCCACTACTTTCGGAAGGTGGTCAAGTTGAAAAACAACGACTTGTACTTTCGTTCCAGCAACCTGCCACCGCTTCAGTCAACTCTCAAATATCAACTCAAGCAGCGGTCGGCCTTTTCGAAGCGCGATTACATTTTGCTGTTCCTGCTAATGCTTCGATCATTGAGCATCCACTGCCGGTTGGTAATTTCACTGGTGGTCCCACCGAAGCTAGTTCCCACCAGTGAACTATATCGAATGAATCCTAAAACGAACGAAGAGCTGCAAGCGGAACGTCGTCTGATGCTGGATTTCCGGCGTGCACCGCGGCACAGTACGGTTTTCAAAGTTCGCGAAAAGCTCGTTGAATTGGTTAATAAAAACTCCCAGCAGGTTCAACGGGAAGCAGCCCGGAAGCGACGTCGAGAAGGATTTAGTGCAACGATTCCTCAATTGGACGGAAGCCATGAACATCTGTTCGGAAGTGTTCCAAAAGAGTTGCCTCGGAAGAAGCTGAAGCTAATGGAGCGCTCTTTTATCGATATCGAACGGAATGTGATTGCCAAGCCGTCGAAAAAGTCGAGCAAGGAGGAAAGGAAGTTTTCGGACGATTTGGACGAGGAAGTCCGGAGGCGTAGGGAGAAGATCTTGGCTGCTTATCGGGCTTCTAGAGAGCAAAGGGAACTGGAAAATGCCAGGGCGAAGGCTGAGGCTGAATTCCTCGGGGAGGGGACAAGTTCGATGCATGCGAGACCGCGGGGACGGTTGAGCGCGAAGGAGATCGCTCGGAGAAAGCGACCCGGCGTAGACCTGTGGATTGAAGTCTACTGCGAGCACGAGGATAAATGGGTCACGATCGACATCCTGAGTGGCAAGGTGCACTGCCTGGAAGACATTGTGGTGAGTATGGGTTTTTTTTTCTCTGAATGGCTGGACAGAGTGAGGTGAAACTCAGAAACTCAAATCTCTTGCTTGGAGTTTGGTCGCCTACGTGTATTGACTACGTTTGAATTACCGATGAGATTTCCCATTCCAACATTTATTGCTTTATATTCTGGCATTTTTCATTTCCAAACTAACAAAAAATTAATATTTTCTGGTGTTGCAAAATAAAATTTAATGAACTTTATTGTTATTCAAGCATTGTTTATCTGGACAGTACCATAATTTTATTCTTGTTAAATATTGTTCTGAGGTGTAACATGTAGATTTGAGGTGAGGTGTTGAAAATCTGATTACGAAGATTCTATAACTTTAGCCCGAATCGTTTGAAAATACTCTGGTTTTAAACCCAGTATTTGTAACTTTGTAGAAAATTTCTGAAATGGTTAAATATCTGGTATTCTGATATTAGATTCTGATATCTGATCAAACATTCAATTACCACAGAATTCAGAAATATCCAAAAGTTCTCAAAAGAGCTGCACATGTTTCAAGGAAAAAACTCTTCTCTAAAATATTTGATTCCGATATCTAATCAAACTTTCCCTAAGTCCATTTTTAATACTCATTATAACTTCATTTGTAGTAGACATGCAACCCAAAATAACTGCTCATGTTTAAAAGAAGAAATCAGGGTGACCACTGAACTGGGAAAACCGGGAATCGATCTTGTTTTCCGTGCTGAGCCTTTCCAAAATTTTCTTAATAATTCGCTTAGAATATTCCTCGAAAATCTTTTGCCAAATTTCCGTGGATAACTCGGAATTCCATGAGAATTATTCTCCGATTTTCCTTGAAATTCATTTCAAAATTCCTTAGAGAGGATTTCTCGAAGTTTTTTTTTTATAATAATATACGAAAAATTATTTTATGATCAAAATATTCCAATTTTATTTTAGTTTAGATAGTGTTTATTTTTGCATTATTCGATGGAAAATTAACAAATTGGCGTTTGAGCGGTGTTTACATTGGAATTAATTTTGGGCCTCGTTAATTTGAGTGCATCTCAAGCATGCGTGAGTGTATTCTCTCAGAAGAACCGAAGACAACATATCAAGAAGACTGGCAACTCTTACATGGCTTCGAACGAATTTGATAGCATAGATTACATCCTCAGAAGAAAGGTTTGTGTATTTGCTCATTTTTCTATGCGTTGCTTTCACCTTCACTCAAGCGCAGCGCTACTGTATCGGTTGGTTGGATTCTGGCAAAGTTGCCAGTCTTCTTGATATGATGTCTTCGGAAGAACTCAATGAACGAGATTTAAAAATGATGTTCCGATCACTGTACCTAGATAAATAACTCCTTACTCTACTAGAACACCGCCACCCACCCGATGTCCTACGTGCTGGCCTGGAACAACGATGGCTCGATGAAGGACGTCTCCGCTCGGTATATCTCCCGCCTGGGTAGTAAAAAGTCCAAACTCCGCGTCGACGACGCTTGGTTTGACCGGACTCTGCAACCCTACCGGGTTCGACGCCAAACGCGTCGCGATCGCACCGAAGACCTCAAGTTCGACAAACTGCTCAACAAGCGACCGTTTCCGGGGCAGATCGGAGAGTACAAAAACCACCCGCGGTTTGCCATCGAACGGCACCTGCTTCGCAACGAAGCCATCTACCCGCGGGATGCCATCGTTTTGGGCTACATCAAGGACGCACCGATCTACCCGAGGGACTGCGTGCACGTGCTATTTTCGCGAGAAGGCTGGCTACGGCAGGCTAAAACCGTGAAACTCTACGAAGAACCGTACAAGGTGGTCAAAGCGAAAGCCAAGTACGATCGCCTGACGGGCACCTCGATCACTGGTCTTCAAACGGAATTATTCGGAACGTGGCAAGTTCAGGACTATGAGCCTCCGGTGGCACAGAACGGCCTCGTACCGCGAACCGCATACGGTAATGTGGATCTCTTCAAACCATGCATGCTACCCAAGGGAACGGTGCACCTGCAGCTACCGGGGCTGAACAAAATTTGCAAACAGTTGCGAATCGATTGTGCCCAGGCGATCACCGGGTTCGAGTACAAGAACAATGCATGTCAAGCGGTGTACGATGGGTTCGTCGTATGCGAAGAGTTCCGAGATCAGGTCATTGACGAGTGGTATCAGGAACAGGTTGAACTCGAACGGAAGGAAGACGAGAAACGCAAGAAGAAGGTCTATAGCAATTGGAGGAGATTAGTGATGGGGTTGTTCATTAGGAAGAAGTTGAAAGATCGCTATAATTTCGATAATTTGTAGTAGGTAGTAACAATAGTGCAGCCCAGTGTCCTTATCTGTATTAATTTGTATAATTCCATTTATGTCGTACATATGCATGATATTTAAGTTTAACTGGGAAATTTTTAGTGTAAAAATATCACATCCTATTTTTCCATTTTTGCAGAAAATGTTCAACCTACACTCAAAAAAATTTTCACATTAAAGCTACGTGAAACGTCACGTTATCTCTTTAACGCCCCACTTCGATCATTTGCACGTGGCTCACGTCAATGTCAAATTAAATTTGATAAAATTTACGCGATTTTCATGTTCGTTGATGCTAAGAGAATTTCACGTAAAAATTAAGTGATAATCGTGTACACTCTACAACATATACACGTCCAATCTACGTGAAAAATCACGTAGCTCATTCGAATGCTTCAACTTTCATGTTCACATGATGGTAGTAAAATTGATAAATATATCATGTCATGTTCACTGGACCTGATGATGAATGTGACAACATTGTCACATCAAACTTCTATGAGTTTACATGATTTACATGTATGGAAAAGTTAAACAATATGGCGGCATCGATTTTATTAGTGGAAGAAGTGATTCAGCATACTGCAACTGGTTGAAGGTATTTTTATATTATTTCGCCTTATTTGAAATCCGTCATACACTGCTAATTAAATGTATTTCGATTTCGTAGGCTCATACAAGATACAATTTACGGGGATTTTCCAAAGGTCAATTTAGTCTGACTAAACAGTGCAAACGGATATTGCATCTGCATCGTCATGATCAATTAAGTGTTGGAAAAGCGAAATGGTTTTGGAACAATGTGGATCGGAATCTGAAAACGCGAAAGAAAGAACACAAATTTATTATGTTACTGATTTTATTAGCGACCGTCTCCTCTCGATAGTTTAGGTTTGATTGATAAAGAACACAAAACACCGCGCCAACTTGTACACGTTTTGTTGTTAGCTGTTGGCAGTACTGACACTGATGTGCGCTGTCACTTCACTGTCGTTGATGAAGAGGGATGCACTGATAATTTCAACACTCCTCCTCACTGTAAACCGTCCACCGCATCCGTAGTAATCCGCATTCCAATCCTTTCTGCAAACCGGCGAATTTTCTGCGTTCCCAAATGCGTCGTAAGTAGATCAGCAGACATTGAATCCGTTGGACAATACTTGAGTTCGATCTTCCCTTTTTCACAGAGATTCTTCACGTACTGCTCCTTGGTTTCAATGTGTTTGGACCTTCTCGTCGCTCGCTCTGATTTTAGGAATGAAATACAGCTTTGATTATCCTCGTGGATCACCGTTGCTTTTTTCTGTTCTTCACCCATATCCTTTAGTAAGGACCGCAGCCATACTAACTGCTGATAAGCTTCGCAAAGAGATACATACTCTGCTTCCATGCAAGAGAGTGTTACCGACGATTGCTTCCGACTTATCCAGGAAATAGTCGCTCCTCCAAATAAGAACGTTAATCCTGAAGTTGACTTCCTGCCCAATCCGCATCCGTGAAACCAACTGTAGAGTTGTGAATAGTGAGGAATCATGAGAGAGTGAGAGGATATGTCTAAGAGAGGTTATGATGAAACGAGGAGGCCGACAACAGGTCAGTCGAGAATGAACTATAGCTACGATCAGTTGCAAATAAAGAACCCTTAGTAAAGTGTACAGTAAGTGTGAGTTTTTAATATTCCGTTTGTGAAGCGTCTTCAAAGAGTCCCCACAGGATCCTACAAGTGGCGCAGTCGGTAGAATCTAAATAGTAAGTATTTTTTTCTCCTCTATAAATGTCGGCTGAAATGAATAAAATGACCCGAAATATGAAGAAATAGTGTTTTCTAGAAAGCATTGATGGTGGACATTTTTTCTTCGGTTGGATAAACATTCAAAGCCATTTGTTTAATTTGTCATTGGTGTGGCGTTAATGATGTTTGCGCTATTTAATTTGAAATCAGAGTGCATTTTAATAAGTAATATGTTTTGAGTCATGGTACATTTACCACCATGCCGCCATTTTATTTATCCAGTGTGCTGGGCATAGAGGTGAACATCCGATTGTGTATACATATACACACGTAGGGTTGGATAGAGGCACTGAAATGTTCACGCACACGGGAGTATTCAACCCGGTATTTTTCTTCGCAGTACTCCTGACAAGAGAATAACTAAGTCCACTAGTACAGTGTAGCACACGCACACACTCCACGAGACCGACGGATCCTGATAATATAGGAACAATAAAAAAGGTCTAGTACTTATGCATTGTAGTTCGAGTGTGAAGCAATCTTGAGACCGGTAGAGGCCGAAGCGCATGGGGAAAGAGAGTCCGATTCACCGTCGTAGTAAGTAAAAGTCCGATCGAACCGAAGCACACCAGAGGTAAATGAAAGTGAGTCCACAAAAACAGTGCAGCACACACAAACACACACAACCTCAGCGTGAATTAGCTTGAGACCGGTAGAGGCCGAAGCGAGGTAAAAAAAAATCGGACCGATATACCATATACACATAACGAGCACGGTGAGATCATAGAAAATAGAGCTTTCTGTTTGAGTCTAATACACACAACCGTAGCGTGGATTAGCTTGAGACGGGTAGAGGCCGAAGCGAAAAAAAAATAATAAGACCGATTGACTGTTACAACAAATGAGGGTCTGATAGAATCGAAGTACGTCAGAGAGAGAGAGAGGTGAAATGAGTCCACTTGAACAGTGCAGCACACACACAACGAGCCCGGTGAGATCATAGCAAACATAGTTTTCTGTTTGAGTCTGACACACACACCGTAGCGCGAGCCGTAGCGTATAGCAATTTTGAGACCGGCAGAAACCGAATCTGAAAAGTGAACCCGATTAAATCGAAGCATATCAGAGAGAGATGAGAGAGAAAGATGAAGTGAGTCCACAAGAAATGTGCAGCACACACGCAACGAGTCCGATGAAACTATACAAGGGGAGAGAACTTGAGTGTAGTTGTGTACCTATACATCAAAGCTTGAAAGTCATTATTGAGCTTGGCAAAAGTCTGCAGTGAGGGGAAATAGGAGCCAACTGGTCGTCGATGCCAAAGTATATAGAGCCCAACAGAAAACCTGTGCTGCTGTAAGAGTGAGATCGAATGAAATTGAATCCGAATAATACCACAGCACGCTTGACAGAGAGAAGAGTGAGTTAACAAACCAGTGTAGCACAAATACCACGAGCCTGGTTAGACAGAATTCTTTTAAGGTTCAATTTACTTTAATGCTTTTTGGAAAATTACAAAAGCAGTTTTTTCCGACACATTATTTCAGATTGCAAAAAGCTCGCACTATTCGATTCCTTTTGATATTTTACACAAAATGACGCGAGCTTTTTGCAATCTAAAATAATGCGTCGGAAAAAACTGCTTTTGAATTTAAAAAAATGCATCAAAGTAAATTGAACCTTAAGTCGATATAACCTGGCACTCTCCTGAGAAACAACTAGTAAGTGATATTGTGCACCTTTGAAAGTTTTCCTGCACTGTGGCTACTGCAACAAGCAGCTGCATGTCAAACGGATGTTATCAATATTTCGTCTAAAGTTCGCTGGAAGTAGCATTTTGGGTAAATCCGCAGCCAAGCATATAGCAAACAAAATCGAAACGTTGGTGTGTGTGTGTTCAAGTTGTTGTATAGGAATATTATGTTTTTGTTCACAATAAAGCATTGAAGTGTCGTCAATCGTTTCCGAGTTATCAATAGATGGGTACTACTAACTTAATTCGTTTGTTTTGCTTTCTTCGTTGTGCAGAATCATGGAGGATAAGGACTGGCCACTTCATTCCTTCAACGAGGCAGTCGACTCATCGGACCTCAGAAGGGAATGGGAAGAGTGGCATCGTTCGAGCTGATTCTGGAGATGAAAGGAATTAAATCGCAGCACGAAAAGCTAGTGTTGCTACTAGCTCGTGGAGGTCGTGGACTACAGCGCATTTACTATAATTTGCGCCCAGTCCCAGAAGAGATACATTCGGCACCGGTGATCATACCACTGATGCCGGTGGAAACACCTGAGTATGATAACGCCGTGCTTAGACTGATGAATTTTTTCATTGGAAAACGGAATATTCGGGTCGAGCTCGAAATGTTCCGCACTCTCAAACAAGCTGAGTCAGAACCGGTTAATCAATTTTTATTGAGGTTGCGTACACAAGCCACGCGCTGTGAATTTCACGACCGTGAAGAAATTGAGATCTTGCAGCAGGTGACGATGGGGGCGTCTGACGAACGTGTTCGCGATAAAGGGATAGAAGGAACATTCAACCTTGATGAGCTAACAAACTATGCCATGAACAGGGAGATGCTCGTTAAGCAGAAGGAGAAGGCCAAGGTATCAATGGATGAGCCCCCCGTTATTGCAGCTGTGAAAGAAGAGTGGAGTGGAAGAGCAGCGTTTCGTAGACCACCGCCAGGTCAAGTCAGAGATCGAGCTTTCCAATCCGGTACAAGGCGGGTGAACAATGAATGTGATCGATGCGGATCGTATCGCCACAGGGGTGATACTCCAAACTGCCCAGCATACAAGGCACGTTGCAACAGATGCGGAAAGATCGGCCACTTCGGTCGGAAGTGTTGAGGTGGCATGAACAAGCGTTATGGTTCTCGGAATACTTGGAAGCGTCCGAAAGAAGAAGCTAATGCCGTTGACCCGTTGGAGGAGTGGAACGAGGAGCTGCCACGTCGCCCGATTCCGGAGGACACCAACAGGTAAACTAGTTGCTTATGTTTTACGATGAGGGTTTGTAGGATCCTGGTGAAGAAGATAAACATAGTTGTGAACTCAATAAAGAAATATTAACTTCGATCCTTGTTTTATTAGGTTGAATTACATTCCAACAGCAATGGAATCATAACGTGCATGTTAGACAATTTCGCCGTCGAGTTCCTGATTGACTCTGGGGCGGCAATCAATACAATCACCAAAGAGGTTTGGAAGAAGTTAAAGAAGAACAAAGTCATTGTTTTCAAACGGAATGCTATGTGTGACCGTACATTCACTTCATACGCCAACGAGAAACCTCTTCGCGTTGTGGCCATTTTTGAATCACGAATTTCCAAGTGAGATCCTACAGACATCACGGAGCTGTACGTGGACGCCTCTCCAGTAGGTTTAGGGGCAGTGTTAATTCAACGTGATAATGCAAACAGACCTAGAATCATCAGCTTCGCTTCCAAGGGGCTGACGAATGCCGAACGAATGTATCAACAGACACAGCGCGAGGCGTTAGCCGTTGTATAGGCAGTGGAGAGGTATTATTTGTATTTGTTTGGGCTTCGATTCACGATCTTTACGGACCACAAAACACTCGAATATATTTTCCAAGGAAAGTACAGAGACGGACGACGCGCCTGCTCAAGAGCCCAAGGTTGGGCTCTACGCCTTCAACCTTACGATTTTCAAATAAAGCACATTTGTGGGGTGAGAAATATATCTGATGTATTATCTCGCTTGTATATGGTAAACAAGATCCAGCATTTGATGAAAATACACAACACTTCCTTTGTGCAATCGGAGAATCACCAGTGGCTATTACTTTGGACGAAATTCGGAACGAGACTGCTCGGGACTTAATACTGGGTACTGTAATTCAAGCCTTGAAGTCGCAAAATTGGTCAAAAGATCTGTTTCGGTACCAAGCTTTCAGCAAAGAGTTAGGTTTCATAGACGGCATCGTTGTACGTGAGGATAGAATAATCTTGCTATTAAAACTAAGACGGCGAGCACTGGATATTGCTCACCGCGGACATCCTGGGATTGTTGCTATGCGTAGGAATCTTCGGCAGTACGTGTGGTGGCCATGTATGGATCGTGATGTCTGCAGCGCTGTCAAAGAGTGTATTGGATGTACAGCTGTTAGTAGTCAGTGCTTGCCCGAACCGATGATTCGTAAAGAAATGCCCGACCGAGCTTGGCAGGAAATTGCCATCGACTTTCTGTCAGCTCAAGATTGCGGTACATTCCTTGTTGTAGTAGACTACTATAGTCGGTTTCTTCAAGTAGTAGAGATGAAGGGTACAACTGCGTCCAAAACAGCTGACGGGCCACCGTTTGCAAGTGTAGAATTTTCTAGCTTTTGTGGTAGCAGAAACATCGAATTGGTTAAAACCATACCGTATTGGCCCCAGATGAATGGGTTAGTCGAGCGGCATAACCAGGGGATCCTGAAGGCACTACGGATTGCCAAAGCTACTAAATCGGATTGGATGAAGGCTCTTGAGGAATACGTGTATATGTACAATACTACTCCTCACTCGGTTACGGGAAAAGCCCCTCTGCAATTGTTAACAGGACGCCCAGTTAAGGATCTCTTGCCGTCATTGCGGACAGACCCTAACTGGAGACGAGACGAACAGGTTCGAGATAATGATGCAATTAGAAAAATGCAAGGGAAGCTGTATGCTGATGAGCGTAGGCATGCCAGGGAGTCCGAGATATCGATCGGAGATACAGTGATGCTGAAGAACTACGAATCCGGTAAACTCGAGCCGAATTTCAAAATGGAGAAGTTCATGGTCCTCGCACGATCAGGAAATGATACGCTTATTGCCAACGAAGACGGAGTGAAGTACCGTCGACCAGTGGCCCACTTAAAAAAGTGGCCATCTTCCCCATCAAATACTTTCTCAGATTCATCTACAGATTCCCGTCAACCCTCGGAACAGCAACCCACCCACTCGTCCACGGAAGGAAAACAACCAAGAAACATGGAAGATGCAGTGGGCCTCGAGCAACGGCGCCAGTCATTGAAGCGATTGAAGAAACCAGATGACGATGACGATTTCAAGGAACATAGGGGCCCAACTCAGAAACGTCCTACTCGAACAAAGAGAACACCGAAACGATACACTTGATTTTTTTTTCTTATTATTGCTATTGAGATGTTTTATTTTGGTGAGAGTAGGAGAAGGATGTAGAGTTGTGAATAGTGAGTAATCATGAGAGAGTGAGAGGATATGTCTAAGAGAGGTTATGATGAAACGAGGAGGCTGACAACAGGTCAGTCGAGAATGAACTATAGCTACGATCGGTTGCAAATAAAGAACCCTTAGTAAAGTGTACAGTAAGTGTGAGTTTTTAATATTCCGTTTGTGAAGCGTCTTCAAAGAGTCCCCACAGGATGCTACACCAACCAGGTCTCCTCTCTCTCCAGTGAATTGCAACTTCCAAGACTTCGTGCCAAGCAGGTAGCGCACCACCCTCTTTGCGGCCGTCCAATCAGCTCGTGTAGGACTACTGACTCGACGACCCAAAATCGATGTGCTCACTGAAATATCTGGTCATGCATGTACCCGACCAAGCTTCGGTACATCGATAGATCTTCTAACTTCTCTTCACATTCCAGCTTCAAAAACCCTTCGTCCATCGGGATTTTCGCACATTTTGCATCTGACATTCCAAATCGAGCCGCCAACTTGTCTATGTATCCACGCAAACTCAAGCTGTATCTGCCTTTATCACGCTGGATTTCAATACCCAGAAAGTATTTTAGCTCCCCCAGATTTGTAATATCCAAATGCTTCTTCAATTCCTTGAAAATCCGCGCAGTAACAGCTTCATCAGCGCATCCCAGAACGATGTCGTCGACATACACTAGCAAATATGCTAACTTGCCACCGAATGACTTCATGTATAGGCATGCATCAGCCGAACTTTGACGGAATCTCATTCGAATCAGAATGTCATGCAGTCGTCGATTCCAGCATCTGGCACTCTGTTTTAGGCCATAAATACTGCGCTTAAGACGACAGGTTGACGCATGTAAAGTTCCTCCTGAAGCTCGCCGTGCAGATATGCAGTTTTGACATCAAGATGCATCAGAGGTATGTTATTCCTGCTCGCAATGGCAAGTAGCGTCCGAAACGAAGCTTGGCTGGTAACAGGTGCGAATACCTCCTCCACCCCGTATTGCTGCGAAAAACCCTGTGCAACCAGGCGAGCCTTATACTTAATATTCTCTCTCGACGCATCGTACTTCAATTTGTACACCCATTTGCTGCCGATAGCTTTTCTTCCAGCGGGTAAGTCTGTCAACTCCCATGTCCCGTTTACACCATGGCTTGACATCTCCTGCATGGATTTCTCCCAATCAGCAGCTCTGTTTGACTTTCTTGCTTCTTGTACGCTTCGCGGTTCTTCCATTGCCCGTATTAGCTTCCTCCGCAAACCGCCTTGGCGGTATACCCTTATTATTCCTCGCCGATCACCGCAGTATCGTGTCCTGACCGTCCTGGCATGGCCATTTTTCGGATTTTCCTTTATATGTAAATTATGTTGCCGTGTTTCCTCTTCAAAGCTATTCATACAACTGACTCTCTTTATTTTCAGCCCCTATTTAGTACAATTTTTTTGCTCTTCCTACACCTTTACTTTCTCTATCTCTCTTTCTCACTCTAGATATATCGCTGCCTGCACTGCTCTTATTCCCTACACGCAGTTCCGGAGAAAATTCTTCAAACAGCGATTCACTTGACGCAGCACCAAAGAACTTATTTTCTGAAGCACTGTAGTAAATCGTTTCCCCTTCATCTGGCCGCATCGTTTCATCCGGCTCTTCTTCAGTTTCCACTTCCGAATCTTCTTTAGTTTCCGTTTCAGAATTTTCATCCTGATTCGTTTCCGGTGGTGCATTGTTGCCAAGAGTCATTTCAACTTCCGTATTCTTCGGTTTACCCATTTCCCGCACCGACTCCTGCGAATCCATCTCCAGTTCGGGAAATTTAGCATCACAACTGATCAAAATTCTATCGGTGGTCGTGTTCACAAATCGATAAGCTTTCCTGTTCTCCGCGTAGCTCACGAACTTCAGCTTCATAGCCTTCCTGTCCAGCTTGTTACGCTTCTCATCCTGTACATGTACCCAGGCATCCGATCCTAACACTCGCATATGTCTATACATGGGCTGCTTGCCGAACCACAACTCGTACGGAGTAGAGTGCCTGTATTAGTAGAGTGACGACGACATGTCAAAATTGGAACGGCCGATTATCTGTCAGTGTCATTCCAATCGAGCAAGCGACCTTTCAAACGCGTTTGGAAAAAAGATGTTGACAACAAGTATTGTAGTTGTCAGCAAAACATTTATTTTTTTCGGGAAAAATATTTAGCTTTTCACTCAATCGCAGTAAGTATTTATTATAGAAGTGTTGATTTAATTATATATTTTTCTTTATGAAAACAAAACACAATTCTACAGGAAATGGATTAGACCTTGGGATTAGACATTTATGAAATTTATGTCGACATCAATCACGGTAAGTAGAAGCAGTTCAGAAGAAAAAATAGCTGGAAGTGGAATATGCCATCGGTCAGGACATCCGGCTGAGTAATGTGAGCGAGCTGGATAACTTCCTGGAAAAATGGTGCGACTCGTACGAGACACTACCGGCCTGCATAGAGAATTAGATCCATCCAGCCAACTCGGAGAAACAGAAGCGGCTCAAACACAAGGATTCTTACAAAGAGGAGATTGCTAATAAAAAACTGATCGAAGTTCAGGTCGCCAACGATTCGGATGAAGCCATGGTCACTGATTCGGAGCGAGAAATTACGGCGTACCTACTATGGAGCGAAAAGCAGCTCTTGGATTCGATCTTGAATGGATTTGAAACACGTCGTTCGTCTCGATCACTCGAATATTTCATTGGATACAGAATTAAGTGTATCGCTTTGCAGCAGTTTTATGAAAAAGATGTTTCGTATCTAGGGTAAGTGTATCTATTTTGGCACCATGTTCCTTAATGTGTGGTTTCAAAAATAAAACTATGCAGCCGTAACTAAAACAACAGAATTTAAACGATTTCCTTTGAAATCTCAGTTTAATAACGTTATGAGGTCCGGAATAAACTAACAATGGTTGAATCGTGTTGAATAATAAAAGTATATTGTTTGTTCTCTTTTTGAAGTTTAACATGTATGAAGTTTATCATCACAAATAATCACCTGACCTTTCTTTATTACACAGCCATTGATCGACTATCTAGTCTATTTTGATGAACCTTTTTGGGATGATGTATCTTAAGACGAAAATGCAAAAATCTTCTAATCAGTTTTCGTTTCAGATCGTGGCATAGAATCAGGTTTTCAGCCGGAATATTCAACAGTTGATGTTCAATTGTATCAAATACTTGATCATTTCTGCAATGGTTGATCTCATTTCTAAAAACGATCTCTAATTTCAAGAAAAATATGAAAGTCTCATTATTGACGTATACCAATGCCTGACCAGTAAAATCCTTCGAAACTGTGAATTTGTTGTAATGACAATCGGACGATGTTGCTATGCACTTTTCAATGCACTGTTGACATACCGCACCATGTTTTGCAACTTTATGTACGATCATACCAGCAATGTGAAATACTACATTCTTGTCCGCATCGTTCATTCTATCCAAAGCAGCCTGTGTTCCAATCGTAGTTAAGTTGTTTCTTAGCGGTACAATCTTTTCCTTTTCTTTAGCTTTGTTTTGGCTCAACTGTCTCACATGTGAAGGGAAATCTATGAGCCACTCTCTTTTATCTGAGCCATAAGACGATCCAGAGACATCAGAAAGGAACTGTGAAATGGTTACGGATTTTAGAAGGTTTTTAAATTGCAAGGCTGTGGGTTTTTTCTGTCTTATTCTGATCTGCGAAAAAAGATTTTTCACGCAGTCCTGCGTGAAGCGCGAAGTTAGCAAATAGCTGTAGCCCTTGACGCCTGCCATGGTTTCCAATTCCTTGTATATCCCACATCCAATTCAAAGATAAGTTTTTTGAAGAAATCGTAGAATTGCAGCGTCTCTTGGTAAATTTGCAAGTTTTCTGAAATAAAAGTAAACTTCATCTATATCGAAATGTATGCAATACAGTGGAATCCTATTATCTACTTACTTTTACACAATGCCATTTCCATTGACCTGTTTTTCGATAACTGAAACCATTTAGAACAAGCTTCAATGAAAAACGCCGTTGGTAAAATTTCAGGACGGTTTGCAACGTCACTGTAAAATCGAAGAGCTGCAGATACGTTTCGGTTGACATATTTTTCGGAGTTCATCACTTTCATGGCATCAAAGTTGCTCTTTTTCTTTTTAAATTCAACGTCTGCTAGCTTCAGGTTATGTGCAACTTTGAGTGCATTCTGATGTTCATAATAAACCAGGTCCGTCAGATGCTGGATGTTGATCTGGTTTGTACAGAATCCGTTCGATTCAACGCTATCAAGTGGAAGCCACAACACTTCGTTCTTCAGCCATCCTTGTACGGCTGACTTGAAAACATGGACGACGTCCGGCATAACTTCCAATTTCCTCAGCGGATCCATTGGATGCTCGATGGCATCACTTTCCATAACATCATTCTTATGGAACTTGAGATTTAAGCAATTCCACAATTTTTTATTATTCGGACCACAATCCGAAGTTAGAAAGTGAACTCTACAGCCGAATGATTCTACTTTACGGATAATGTCAAATGCTATTCCCTTCAGCTCATGTTCCGGAATACTATTACCCGTAAAATGATAGCCGACAGTTTGCTTCCATCTGCTTCTGATCCCTACCAACATGAAAACGAGACCATGACTAGCAATTCCGTTCTGACCTGCAATAGTAACATCGCCATAGAACATGCTGTCCGCAATACAAAAGCTCTTTGCTTCTTCGATGGACATTTGATCAAATACTAGCCCACAGTCAAGATCGTCTGAGTTCATTGTATTCAGTTTAAGCTGCAGAAGCTCTAGAACATCATCTAGTATTCCAGTACTGAAGTCCAAGTCCTCCATCCTTCGCTGGAGAGTTCGTTATGAAGGAATCGGATATTTATTCCGCTGATGCTCGTATCCTCTCGTGCCACAAACAAATTTGGTCTTCAGGCTCTCTGTAATTGTTTTGTCACTCCACTGCTTCGGATGCATTTTCATATACAGCAACATATCTACTTGGTCGGAATTGAACGTTCGATTCAGTGCATCGAGTGCGAGATCAGGAGTTGTCTTCTGCTTATCAATCACATGTTCCTGTCGCTTGATAACGCTTTCGAGACCCTTGCAGTGCTTCTTTAAGTCCGAAACTTGATGGCTTAGAACATTGACGCGACTAAAACGACAATTATTTATCAATATAAAATTGAAAATAACATACAAAGACATTCTTACCTCTCATATGTTCTTTTCGTCTTCGCACACACAGCTTGGTGTTCATCGTAAGGAGAACATCTGACTGGCATTCCGGATTCTTGATTAGGTTCCACGGTTGAAAAAGGATTTCTTGCTTGGTTTTCATGGTCCGAATCGTCCTCGGCGTGCAAATCTACAATCTGTGGTACGAACTCATACACTGGAACTGCCGTCCGTCGTCGCATAATTTTCCCCTTGTTGGAAGCAAAATATATATCGTCTGGCATAAAATGAAACTAAATTAAAAAAAAATATTACTGACACTTTGGTTTGCTGCTGTTGTTTTACGTACGCTGCACAATCGAGAGCATGCCGTGATTTCGTAATCATCCGGCAGATTACAAAATCTCTTCCAAGCAGCACACACATCATCGTCCACCGAAAAACGAAAGAATCAGATGTTCTTGAACCCCGCTGTCGTTTTGTTTGTACAGAATTTAGCGCAGCACTTCATTTCGAACAAATTCAGTAGCAACAACGAACCAAACAGAAAACGCGTGTGTTTTGAAACAACAGAATATCAACAAAACTCTTAGCTTTGCGAAAAGTCACGTGAAAGCCCAAACACTTTCAGTGTTGTCAGCTCAAAACTTCAGGGATGCCAAATATTTTATTTTCACTGGGATGACATGTCGTCACTCTACTAATACAGGCACACTAGTACGGAGTACAATCCAACTTGGCAGACGGTAGACGATTACAAATGTAACATGCTGTCATCACCGCTTCACCCCAGTATTTACTACTCAGCTTTGCCTCCAGCAACAGACACCGTGTCATCTCCATGAGAGAACGGTTCGCCCTTTCTCCTTGCCATTTTGTTGCGGACTATAAGGAGCCATCTGTTGCAGAGTCCAAATCCCATTTTCACTCAAGTAATTCTTCAACTTATTGCTTGAGAATTCGCCTCCGCCATCAGTTCGAAGGATTTTGGGCTTCATTCCGAACAAATTTTCAACCAGACTCACGTAACTGCGTATCACGCTTCCGATTTGTGCTTCAGTAGGTAAACGATAGTGAACTTACTGAAATCATCAATCATCGTCATCACATATTCGTTGCTGCTAGGAGTTGGGACATCCATCGGTCCACAAAGGTCGGAATGCACGAGATCTAGAACAGCTGTTGACCTCGATTTCGAAATCGGAAACGATGCTCTCGACAGCTTTCCCTCGCAGCAAACCCCACATACCGATCTAACACCGCAGTCGCTCATTTTCAAATATGCTCCCACCTTCTCACTGACGATCCTCTCAACTGCTTCCGGGTGGCGATGGCCCAAACGGCGATGCCAAAGATGCTGACACATGTTCGAATGTCCAACCGCTGACAAGAGGTACTGCTGGCTTGGGTGTTTTAAATAATACAAGCCCCCCTTCCGTTCTCCAACAACAACTGCTTTACCGTTACGTAATATTTGGCATCCTTCAGATTCAAAAATCACCTCGTATCCTTCATCGGTGATGCGGCTCATCGACAACAAATTACCTGCCAAGCCAGGCACAAACAATACATTTTTGATAGAAATGATTTTGCATTCACCGTTTTCGCCGATCACATTGATCAGCTACCAAGATACGACATTCACCTGCAGCAGCTCATCTTCAGTCAAGACGCTATTGTCAAAGCCCTTTGCTCAGTCGATCCATCGAAAGGTCCAGGCCCGGACCGTATTCCACCGTCTTTCGCCAAGAACTGCCCGTAAAAAAAGAACTATAAAGGTACAA